TAACAAATATTACATCTTTCAGGTAATCAATCAATCATTCTGGATTGTCCTAACACATGAAAAATATAACAAAATATTTGAACATTATAGTCCTTAAATTTCTAAGGCTTGATCACTGGGACTTGTACTACAGCAGATTGTTTCTGTGTTTGCTGAGGTTGAAGCAATTGAATGTTAGCCCTTGAGCATGATCGAGCTATTTCGCCAGCTAAGGGAATCACTGGCAAGTTGTCGCAGTTACAAATCTCAACCATGAATCCATCTGGATCATGGAAAAACAATTGATCTACATAGATTCCTCCTTCTTCAACCAGCTGCCTCGCGTACTTTATCCCCATTTCTGTTAGCTTCTTCTCCACCGCATCTATGCTCTCACACTGCTCATCAATCAACAAAAATTTCAATAAAAATAAGTTGTTGCACACATTGAAATTTTTTTGTACAACTCTACAAAACTGTTCAATTGTACTTGATCTACCAAATGCATTCGATTCCAGTTAGTAACTCTAGTTTATATCTATATAAAATAAAAGGCATTACACCATACTCACTAAATTTCATACGTATATATCGATGGCTTCAATTCAAAAGTACTGAATTTAGTAAAATCGGCGGAAACAGAACAAATTACCTGGAAAGAGATGTGGTTATCTTTGGGATTGATTTCAGTTTTCTTTGGCATTTTCTCAGGATCTTCCGATTGAAGTAGATGAATCCCAATTCCATAGCTAAACAGCCTGAAACACGAAGAAAAACACGGAATCTCAATACAAAAATCTGATAAAACTAAAGATTCAGAAAGGATCTTAATCAATCAAATCATATAGTAAAATTTTGGTTTATGCATCTTTTTTCTTCGTAATTTATTATAAACATGAAATTACCAAGCGCCATTAAAATTGAATGATCCAGGCCTCCTTACAGGCACAAAACCAAGAACATTCTTGTAAAATTCAATTGATTTTTCAACTGATCTGCAAACAAGGGAGATATGATTCAGGGATGTCAAAGCAAGTGGATTTCCACTATTCCCCTTCATCTTTCGTTTTTTTTCTGCTCTAAACAACAAGCAAATCGAAGAATTAGCAAATGAATTAAGAGATTTGAAAGAGGATTATCAATAATAAAGGAGAAATTAGGATTAGGTTAGGTCAAATTTGTAATGGTAATGATGAAAAAAAGATGAATTAAGGAGGCTTACATTTATAGAAAAGCCTGCCTCTGTTTTAGTTTGACAGCTGCGATACATCTGGCCCACTATGAATCTGATTGACACGTAGGTACAAGTTGCTGACGTGGATTAATCTATAAAATTACTTTGTTTGGCTTCTTACACGTAAGCTGTTTTATTTTCTTGCTCAATTCATTTACGTAAATATAGTAATTCGGACGATTTCTGTGTATTTGACCCGGCAATTCTCACTATTTTCTCATCTTTGAAAAATCGTAGTATTATTTTTCTTAAAAAGTCTTGAGGTGTAATTTTCAAGTTATTAAAGGATAATTATTACTAATTATAATTAGAGATATACTCAACCGTGTCGCTGCATATTTATGTAGTGTCCACCGAACAGGCGATAAATATGGAGACATAATTTCGATTTGAATATACGAGAGAACGAAGAAATCGAAGTACAATTTCATATTTTTGCTAGTTGATTTTTTCTTCTGATATAGTTAACAAAAAAGAGTACATGATGTGGCGATGGAATGACCTTTCTAGTCCGCAAAAATAATAGTATATGCATATATTATATTTATGTAAATTTTATTGATAAGATTACAGTGATTTTAGACAATATTTAGTTATTTTTATTCGTCTATTTTTAAGTTGATGTATTCGTAAAGAACAGTGATATTAGACATTATTTATTTATCCTTAATTAGTTACTCGTTTAATTTTAAATTGACGGATTCATAAAGAAAATGATGATAAATATAGTAAATTTATTATTTCCCCTATTAATTATAAAATGAACGATTAGATAATTGAAAATTTTCAACATATTTTATCTTTTTTATATTAATTAATTGAGGCATAATAATACTTCCTCTACACACTTTTAATGGTCTTTGAGTTAGCAATAGTAACTTTAATTGAATATTATATTCCAATAATTTCTTACATGACGTCTTAGGTGTATTATATCACATAAAATATTTATATTTAATTAAACTTTATATAAATTTAATTATCTATTTATACACAAATAAAATTAAAAAAATATAAATACCAACTACATTAAGAACATATTAATGCATTATCAATTTTATTTTGTAATTTTAAAAATAAATGAAGAATCTAGATCTTCCTTTCCTATTTACCATGATCAACGTGTAAGGTTAAGTTTCTAGTTAACTTTTAAATTTTTTCCTAATTATGACATTATCATATGAAAGGGGGTTAACTGTTACCCTTCTCTGGTTAGTGGAACAGGATAGCCCCGGCCCAGGTTCCCCCCTACTTCCCCAAACTTTTTGTTTTTGATTATCTTAAATTTGACGAATTTTATTTCTTAATAATTTTAATCGAACTCTAATTTATATATATCAATATCACTGAAAGTATATTGGAAGAGAATAATAATGTCCATAAGTCGTTGGTTGATAACTAGAAAGATCATTCAATTTCGTATACTGAATTACATATCCTACTATAATAAAATTAAAATATAGGTGTAATAAATAGCCTTTTACAGCATGAAAATATTCCAAATATTTATAATTATTTCCTATATAGATTAAAATATTTTTTAAAAAATATACAAAGCATTTATATTCAGTTAGTTGAGAAAGCAAATTAGTAGAAGTAACACGTATCTGAAAGTTTGATGTCAACGTCATGGAAACATAGTTTGCCAGCTTCACTAACTAAAAAAACTCACCAAACAAATGTAAGTATTATAAAATATTTGTGACTAAGAGAGATTGGATTGTATAAAAGTAGAAAAATAGATTAAAGATTGTTTTATAGCGCATTCACAGACAAAATACATGAGCTTTCTTGTCTTTATCTGAGTTTAACATTTATATTCCATATATTTAAATATCTGTAACCATTAAACATGGGTCATTCTTGTTCTTTGATTAATTATTTATTCACACGCTCAATAATTTTGAAATTAATTTTGAAAAAGGTGGTTATTTTAATTTATGAGTTGAGTAACATGATTAATACATTGCAAGACGTTAGAGATAGATAAAATTAATTCATAAAATTATATTTCGTTTAATTCATCAAAAAATTAAAGTTGAATATTAGCTCAATATATTTGGTCTGACGTTCTCATATTTTAATGGCAAATTATATTTGGGTGAAGTTTTATCATATCTTTGGCTCCAAGGGAAAATTTAACTATTTTAAGAAATGTGATTTATACGCATAAATCATTAAAAATACCCATAAAATTATAGTATCATTTTATAATGAATATGTTTCGTTAAAAGAATAACCTTATAATATAATTGATAGCAATCAATAATATATACAAAACAATACATTAATAGCATATTTAAACTTATTGTTGATTTAATTATAATTGTAACTCATTAAGCATACATTTTTCTTTTTATCTCAATTTTATCAGTTAAATTAAAACTCAAACTTTTCCGAAGGAGGTGATAATAAATATTAGTTGAAATTAATAAATAATGAATATTTATTATAAAAAATAAAAAATTTTAAGTAATTTTTTGAATTTCTCAAATATAATAAATTTGCCAAATACTAATTTTTTTTTTTTTATACTTTGACAAGTTATGTAACCATTAACCAACCCCATTTCTCTAATTTTCCCCAAATATTCTTGATGCCAAACGGATCCTAATTCATATAATATATACTCCATAAGTGAGAACTTGTCGCACAGCATGTGTTTTTTGAGAAAGTAGGTAGCAGAAATTAAGTACGTGAGTGCTTTGTCGACTTTGCACTATAAGTTAATTTAACTGACTATCTGCATCATCAAAATGTTGAAAGTGACAAATTGCTCTGTTCATTTATGTCACAATTCACAAGTCACAACACAGTTACAATGCTATCCAGCTAGCTTTTCATTTTCTATGTCACTTTATATTCCACTCTCTTTATTTTATATTAATTAAATTTGTGACATAATATACCGTCAAATAATAAATGGTGTAATATTTTTATATGAAAGGTAATTTTTTTTTTATAGAAACTATCAAAATTTTATATATTAAAAAACAAATATTAAAAACTAAAATTTTGAATATTTATCTTAAATTTTGAACAAGTCAATTATTTTGTACGAAAAAATTCATCATAAATTAGTTAATATGAAATAGAGAAAGTAATTATTTTAGATTAACTAGTCCTTCTATCCACAATTTAATTATATCCTTTTTAGTTTGTTGGGAAAAAAATTATACAATTTTCTTATTGACACAATGAATATCTTACTCATGTTTTGTCCTATTTATTTGGTATTTTAGATCTATACACGTTCCAATCCATAAGTACCAAGTACATTTTCTTTTGCTGTTTTGCATGCGCTTTATGTAACAAATTATGGCAAGTATTTTAGATCTATACACGTTAAGCTTACTTAACGGGATCTTATGATGCCAAATATTATACCCCTCCACGGTATTGTCAATAGGAAATATAAGTTATATTTGAAATAAATTATATTTAATTTTAATCCTATGTATTAGAGATAAATGAAATTGAACGTGCTAGATACATGTGTAATTTGGGGACAGAAATCTGATAAAAATAGTAATTTCAAAAACTCACACGGGAAGACACATAATTAAATTCTAAACTAGTGAAATTTTGTATTGTGTTCTGAATTTTAATTTTAAAAGTAGAAATAAATCCAAATAGTCAATAAATAGGGTTCTCTCAAACTTTTACAACCAAAATAGTTTGTTATGTTTACGGGCTTTTCTTATGGACTTGAGCCCCCCAACGACATTTTGGGCCTAATAAAAGCCCAATGAAATTGATCCGCACCCATAAATGAAACCCAAAAAACATGTTGCTGGGACTAAATTGGCGCATACTCTTTTGAATATACCTGGTTTCATTTGAAAAATGGAATGAATACATATTTGAACTTTTTCAAGAAAAAAAATGGCGATTAGGACACTTCTTCGCTACAGAAGTGTACATCATTTCTCCAGAACACTCTTCCATTGCTATCTTTCTCCACTCAAAACCACTCAATGTTGTCTTTCTTCTTTATTTCCTTCGTATCTTCCTACCTCCAATGCCTTTCGCGGCTGTCTGTTCATGTCCTCTTTAACTGATGCAGAAACCAAAAAGGAACCTGAAAAAAATCCAGACCTGGTGAATGAGGTTTCTCGAATTCTTAGTGACTACAGAAGCCCTCACCACGACATTGAGTCCGCACTCAATCCATTTTCCGGCAGTGTTTCAAATGACGTAGTTGAACAAGTCCTCAAGCGTTGCAAAAATCTGGGATTCTCTGCGCACAGGTTCTTCATATGGGCACAAAAGTTATCAGGTTTTTGCCATAGTCGGGAAAGCTTTCGCATTCTTGTTGATATATTAGGAAGTAGTAAACAGTTCCCCTTGATATGGGATTTCCTTGTTGAGATGAGAACGAATAGGTCTTGTGAAATTACTCCCGAAATTTTCTGGCTTGTTTTCAGGGCTTATAGTAGAGCTGGTTTGCCAGCTGATGCAATTAGGGCTTTTAATAAAATGGTAGATTTTGGGATTAAACCATGTTTAGCTGATCTCGACAAGCTTTTGCTGGCGCTGTGTAAAAGAAAGCATGCCAAGCAAGCGCAGGAGTTTTTCGATAAAGTGAAGGATGATTTCATGCCGAGTGTGAAAACTTACAGCATTCTGATAAGGGGATGGGGAGATTTAGGGGAAGTTGCTGAAGCACAAAAGCTGTTTGATGAAATGCTTGAAAGAGGTTGTTCAGTTGATTTGCTTGCTTATAATAGTATTTTGGACTCACTATGCAAGGCTGGTAAGATGGATGAGGCCTTCAACTTCTTCATGAAGATGAGGTCCATTGGACTGATACCTGATGCTTTTAGTTATTCAATTTTTATTCATGGTTATTGCGCAGGGAATGATATTCATTCAGTTTTCAGGGTCCTTGACCAGATGAGAAGGTACAAACTTGTGCCTAATGTATTTACATATAATTGTATCATCAAAAAGCTTTGTAAGACCAAGAAGGTTGATGAGGCCTACCAACTGATAGATGAGATGATTAACGAAGGGGTAAGACCTGATTGTTGGAGTTACAATACAATCCTAGCTTCTCATTGTGATCAGAATGAAGTTAACTTGGCACATAGGCTGGTTTCAAGAATGGAACAAAACAACTGCCTACCAGATAAACATACATATAATATGTTGCTTAAGATGCTTATTAGGGTGGGAAGGTTTGATAGAGTTGAGAAAGTTTGGAAGAGCATGGAAGGCAGGAACTTTTATCCTTCAGTCTCGACATATGCTGTCATGGTACATGGTTTCTGTCAGAAGAAAGGGAAACTGGAGGAAGCATGTAAATATTTTGAAATGATGATAGATGAAGGCATTCCTCCATATACAGAGACGTGTGAAAAATTGAGAAATAGACTAATAGGTCATGGATTTGCAGAGCAGACTGAGATACTTGCAGATAAAATGGAAAGAAGCACATCTAGTTTAATTCAAGAACTGGCAGGTGTAATGAGAGGTAATAAGGCCCGTTTGAAATTGAAACATGATGAAGAATACTCGGATGAAAATTTTGAGTGAGAGAATCTAATGATCTAGAATCATCTCAATTCCCTGGTCAAGGTGATACGTACTCTTGTCGCATGTCGTTTATTGGTAAGTCATGCTGCATTTCATTGTTTTCTGATAGCAGTGAGTGGCACTGACTTGGCTAGACCCAGGGAGAACTCCTGGCTCAGATAGCAATTATAGCCACAGAGGCAAAACCTTGATCCGACATATTATCTTGTGATGGAAAATTATAGTCAAGGTGACAATTTGGTCCAAGTGAGTTTCTTGATCTGTATATTTCCGTAGCAAAAGCCTAGATTTATTTTTATGGTCTGGCTTTCATGTGGGCCCAGTTGCTCTTTACTATTCAGTATGTGTAAATGACATCCTAGCTTGTAAAGATTTGGATGTGGTGTAATTGGCTTGCAAGGTTAAGGAACGAAAGGCATGTAGTTATCTCTTGGATTCGACATTTTGTGTTTGATTCTTCGCATCCTTCAAGGACAAGCTGAAGGGCCATCAACTTTCAAGAGTAAACAAGGGGGTTTTATTAGAAAGGGAAAAAAGGTTAGTAAGGGTCGCAAGGTCTGCTTGGTAGTTGAGTGATGCCTTATTAAGTGGTAATTACTGCTGGAATACATTAGTTAAGGCATACAAGAATCTCCGGCTGTACCAGAGCATATTAAGGACATTATTCTTTTGTGTATGAATAATGAATGGGAACATCTGAAATTAATATTCAATTGCGAGACATTTTCTGGAAATGCCATGCAGATGGATAAGTTGTCGATTTGTTGTTTCTGCCATGTATGCTTAGTTAATGGCTTCTACATGTTATCATTATCCTTACCCAACATAGTTGGTGATGTGACTAGGAACTGTGTCATATGATCCTTCTAGGTGTGATGTCGAGTAGTTGTTTTCTTTGGAAATGACCTCAGGAATCGTAAAGGTAAGGACTTGAAAACCTAAGTTGGATAGATCAATCCACTAGATTGGACTGTGGAGCATGTTCTCTAGATAAGTGATGATGAAAAGATTGTCTCAACTTCAGATTTTTTCTACTCACTGATTCTGCTTGCATTTTTCTACCCGTATCTCTTAAATTACTCCCTATTATGCTACCTAGCCCTAATATTGGTTAGCTCTTTGGTTAGCTGTCATCTACGAAGCCAATATTCTGTAATTTTTTCATGACGCAAATTAACTTCTGAACCTCTATAAATTATTTTATCACAAGTAATGTTGATCTTTTCCCCCTGAACTCCTATATGCTTGTGGAAGATATATCTAAATCATTTTGAAGTGATAGACAGGTTGATTCTGATGTATATGAAGATACTTGTATGATCTTGAGTGTTCTTTAAAAGTTAGTTCATACAGTTAGTCACTCACCACCATGTTTCCAATCTGCAACTGCTGCTAACAGATGACAAAGTCAAAAATGGGAAAAAGCATACAGAAGGTAGGATTCTAGATCATCTTCTTCCAGTTTTCACCATAGCTGTGTTTCCGACAATAGTTTTGAGAAACTTGGGAAGCCATTCAGAAGCAGGGTACTGAAGAATATGTCATTTTTATGGAAGCTCCAGGTTGAATTCGATATTTGGATGGCACCGCATTTTCTCTTGAGGATTGAATGCTCTTTCTTCCGCTCTTTGGAGAGGCCACCTAAGGTTATGATTGTTGTCATCACAAAACCTGTCTTAATTTTCTTGAAGAACTTGTTTTACTCAAATTTGAATATTTCTTATTCCTTTTTTTTTAATTGTTGGGACAGCATGGAGGCTGGAAGAGGAGTTTAAAGTTTTTGAATACGCATGATCATAATATATAAAAGTGTTTTTAACTTGACGTTAGTTGAGATCTATGCACTTTAACTATTATAAAACTAAAATTAAACAAATAGGCATATACATATACGATGTCAATTGTCACATGAATTAAGCTTTTGCTCTATTATTGTTCATGTAAAATGTACTCAAAACTTTAAAAAATAGAATCCACCTGTTTTTTTCTTTTGGTTGGAAAAAAGACGACACCTACTATAATAAATTAAATCGGGAAAGCAAATTATCAAATGTCGAGGTCGTGGTCCTTTTCATTTTTGTGTGGAAGCATTTTGAATTGGTTTTCAATATGAGCGTCAAATTGGACGGGTTGCGATAAAATTAAAAATATTAAAATAAATTTGAGATAGAAGTTGGGTTGAATCTTGATCCGTTCAAATTTATTTTGGCTCAAATGAATTTAAAATAGTTGGGTCTTGATCCGCCCAATTTGATCCGATTAATCTCTGTAATTTAACATATTTATATTTAATTTTTATAATCACAATTTGAATTTAGCTTGAAATTATTTTTTAAAAAGAGTAAAAAATTGATAAATAAACCCTAAAAGTTGCTAAATAGAATAAAAAGTTTTAAAACGGATTGAATTGGTCTCGATTCTCTTCAAATGAATTATGCTTGAATGGATTGAGATTGAATCCACTTCAAATTATTTTGAGCTTAACCCTTAAAATTATAAACGAATTATCTATATTCGGATTCACTTTTGACACCTCTAATTCTCGATTTCCATATTCGAGCCAGACCTGAATGCAACCCTGGTTGGTGGAAGCAGAAATTACTACTGTCGCAATTGACACTTGAAAAAAAGGAAAAAAAAAAAAAAGAGCAGAAATTGATGGATAAGTCGGTGAGAAAACAAGAATGGTAGATCTACAATTGTAAGCGCTTTATATCACATTTTGAAGGAAGAGATCTACTTTATTCCCTCCATAGCATTTCTTTCAATTTCCCTACCGCTGATAAACTTAACAGAAACGAGACCCATTATTCTAAAGAATGATCGCTTCAACTGTGCGAAAGCCCCTCTTTGGCGTTACTCTATTCACCTTATCTCTCTTTCTCATTCTCTTCTTCTTCGCACCTTTTTCTTTCTTCTCCGACCCTTCGGTTACCTTCAATTCTTCACGGTAAGTTTTGCTTCTTTTCCCCTTTTTTTTGTAAAACTATGTTTGTTGATTGCTTTGATTTCCATGTTAATATCTACGGACATGCCTTTTTTTTGTTTCTTCCTTCATGGAGTAAACTACAAGATCCAAATCTCTGTTCTGTATTTTTAATTGTTTTTTATTTTCTTTTTAAAGTTTTGGGCTCTTTCAACGCATTTCTCTCTTATTGTGTGGCCTTCTGATCTGTTTCTATTTGAGTGTAATTGCAGGCGTGCAAGACCCGAGATATGGAGCATACGAAGATTAGCTGAGTGGCGACCTTGCAATTGGTGGCTCCAACCACCAACTAATGGTTAGTTTTTGGCTGATACTCCATCCATCCCAACCCCCAAAATAGAACCCTTATCTAGTATATGTATTTGCTAGTTAGGAAGTACGTTATTTACGTATAAAATTTATATGATGTTTTGGTGTATTGTGTTATGTGGGGATAGAAGATAGAATAGCGAATCCCTGCATAATTTTAACCAACGACCAACGACTCTTTACAGTACACAGCTATTATGACATCAAATAACATTGGAATACTTGGTGCCTATTTGAATAATTGTACAGTCAGTACTATATTGCTCCATTGGTATTTCTGGTGGAGCTGAGGATAATTTATTTTGGGTAATGGCTACTTGGAATTTGTTAGGGGTGGTTAAAACAAGAATTAGGATATAAGGTCTAGTTGTGCATATAACCTTCTGCTCTGGGGGGTTGTAAAGTTTTCTAAGTCGAGCATTTGACTGGCCTCCAATGCAGACATGGTTTTGTTGTTGAAATGCTGCAGCTCTTCCTGCTAAAGCTAATGGGTATATTCGAGTGGATTGCTATGGTGGGCTCAATCAGATGAGGAGAGATGTGAGTATTGCTATTCGCTGAACCTACATTGAATATTGATATTTATGATGATAAAGGTCATTCAATTTGTTTCTTGTCATTTGTTATCTGCAGTTGTGTGATGGTGTTGGAATAGCTCGTTTGCTGAATGCTACTCTTGTTTTGCCGAAGTTTGAAGTAGCTGCATACTGGAACGAGTCGAGGTATGCTTTTGTTATGACTTATGACTTATAATTTGCTTTATCTTCCTTTTTCTAACCTACATAATCTTGTAGGTTTTAGGTATTTGATAACTTCTTTAATCATTCATTGCTACGCCTAATCAGCAGACAACTCTGTAGTTTTACACGGTTAAGAGCTGTCTTATGATTTTGTTAGAGGTTCTCTTTATAATGGTTGCCTGTTCTTCCTTTTCGTACCCATGATGAATTTTTGCCTTATGTTTCAGTGGTTTTGAAGATGTATTTGATGTAGACTTCTTCATCCAACAAATGAAGGGCTTTGTTAATGTGGTAAAAGAGCTTCCAATTGAGATTGCAACAAAAGATCCTGTTAGAGTTGATTGCAGCAAACGCAAAGGCCAATTTGACTATGTTGAGAGTGTTCTTCCTTCCCTGCTGAAGCATGGATATATCTCGATCACCCCTGCAATGAGTCAAAGAAGGGATAGGTACTTACATTTTGTATTTTGAATTAAGCCGAGAACTCTTAACAATCATTTCTACACGCAGCTTTAAAAGGATAAAGTTATTTTAAACATCCTTATAACCATAATTACTCATCTTAGGTACCCTCTTTATGCAAAAGCAGCACTTTGCCAGGGTTGTTATAGTGCGTTGCGCCTTACAAGCACATTGGAGAAGAAAGCACTTGAGCTTCTAGAAGCTATACCAAAACCCTTCTTATCGCTTCACCTTCGCTTTGAACCTGACATGGTAGCTTATAGTCAATGCGAGTACTCTGGTCTTTCTCTTGCTTCTGCAAAAGCCATAGATGCTGCACGGGTTGACAGGAAACCTTGGACTGGGGAAACAGCTCGTATTTGGAGAAACCGTGGAAAGTGTCCACTTACCCCCAATGAAACTGCATTCGTACTTGAAGCTTTAGCCATACCCACCAATACGACAATTTATTTGGCAGCTGGTGATGGCCTGATGGAACTTGAGGGACTTACATCTGTGTATACCCATGTTGTTACTAAATCTAGTCTTCTTAGCGGAGAGGACTTCACAACCATGCATGGGAATACAAAAGCTGCACTGGATTATTATGTGTCTATTAACAGCGATTCTTACATGGCTACTTATTTTGGGAACATGGATAAGATGGTTGCAGCAATGCGAGCTTTCAGGGGGTTGTATAAGACAATTTTCTTGAATAGGAAAGCCTTTGCATTGCTTACCTCTCAAGGGTTTAAAGGGAAGGAACTAACAGAAGCCCTGTGGAAGGTTCATAGAGATGATTTTATAATGGGTAGAGGATCTGCCTTACCTGACTGTTTTTGTGAATTCAATGTATGAACTTATGTTTTCCTCTTCAGTTTATTCGTTACTTGATGTTTTGGTTATAGCCGGAGCAATTTATTCGAAAAGATGTCTCGTGTTTGATGTAGGTGTCATTCACAAAATTATGTAGGTGACATTTAATTCATGTATTTAAAGTGTATGTAGCTTATGGAACACCACATTTAGCATTTGATAATTTACATTCATTTCTTCTTTCAAGTGGTGCCTTTTCCTTTGTCCTTTACTCTCTTGTATGTGCCCCCTCTTCCTCTTTTTATTCTATTCACAATGATAGAATTCTTTTTCCAGTTAATGGAATTTGGCATTATGGAGGTTGTCTGCCATGGTTCCTTTATCCTTTGGGTTGAACTAATAGCATTGGTGTTATAAAGATATTTTTTCCATAAGAGAATGGCTTTACAAGTTTACTTATGTTGATGAGTTCACCTAAGAGAACACTTGAGTCATCTAAAAAATGATATAAACTAAAAGAAAATCATCGATACCAAACCAAATTTGGGTTTTACTGTAAAGGGTTAAACGCACAATCCCAAGAAGAAAAATCAAATCATTTTGGAAAGAGTTCTGATTTCCACAGAAGGAACTCCCTCAAAAAATCTAGTACTACATTTCTCTCTCAAAATCAACTGAAAAATGCACCATGTCGTCTTCCACAAATTCATCCAGCCTGCTCATTCTCCAACTAGGTAAATCCCATGACAGTTTAAATGTAGTAAGACCATAACTCCACTGTGAAATTGCAATGTAGTAACCACCTTTGGCTCTGATCCTTTGTGCAGATACCACCAACTAACAGTGTATGTAACTATTTTTGCTGCCTTAGTCCTCCATACCAGCTTCCATATGGGCCTGACGACACCTCTCCTAGATAAGGGTTGTTTTACATTTGAGGTTCAGCCTGCCCAAATCTGTCCTCTCTGAATTGCACTTGAATCAACATTGCAATCTCATTCCATTCCGAATCTTGGACGGGCCTCCTGACCAAGAGATAACAATACCTGACCTCCATACCTAATAACCTCTGGTGAACTGTGGCTTCTTTATAAGTTTTGGTCAAGATTAAGTTGGAATTCTTCTTTTTAGTGCTAAGCCCCCACATCACATCAAACCAAATACGGATATGGGCACATTTTTCGAAGCTCAAAGCAAATGCACCTTGAGAAAAGAGATATCCTTTAATCATATCGTCTTACAGGGATGACACTTTCTCCGAAGAGCTTGCTCCTGTATGTAAGTACACAATACGTTACAGGTTCTTTTGGGGTTAAACCATAACATTCTTCGTCAGCAGAGACTCATTAAATCATTCAAATCAAGCATTGAATGTAAAAACGACGACCAGTAATGAGAAACAAGGGAGCTCCATATTTGACAGCAGCATTGGAGCAGAAGACGAAAAAAATAAAAAATCATCGAACAAGAGACATAGAATACATACTAGTACAAAGAAGTATTGAGTTCATTGCGTCAGTCACAAGAGAAGAGAGTCAATCTTTTGGCATCTGATGTATTAATTTTCCAATGAATATCACCTGCATGAAACCAGATAAATTGCTATCAATGGTGTTTTTATATTTGTTGTTATTAAGTCAAAGAGTCATGACAGGAAAAAGACAAGTTTTCCCGCCCTGTTTTAGTTGCACTACCACCAAAAGAGAGAACACCTAAATGAGCTGTAGCAGAAATGCACCCAAAATTGGATGTCAGTAGGCTGCAAAACCATCAATCTGCACAGAAGATCACATAAAGCTACAATCAAAGAGCTCCATCCATCTTATAGAAGATCCATACATATGCTCTCTCGATAAAAGAGCAATAATGAAGACCTTCAGTCTTCTGCCAGACCAAGCTTACCAAAAACTTAACATCAGTTTCATCTTGATTATGAGACATGGCCTTTACCCAAGGTATGCAAAATTACTGAAGCCTCAGAGTTGAATCCATGACTCAGGTACTGGTCAAATATCAAAGAATACTTTAAAGCGACAGACAGTTCTGTCGCACTTAAGCTGCAGGAGATAATACTTTTCCATTCCTTGGATTTTCCATTCAAGCAAATTCCATGTAATAAGGCGGCGAAGGTAACTGAATCTGTAGTGTAGCCTTTACTAATCATCTTGTCACGTAATTGCAATGCAGTTTTGAGCATTTTATGTAAACAGAGACTGGTGATAATGGAATTGTATGCAGCATTTCTCGGGTGCCAACCATCTGATATCATTCTTTTAAAAATTGCCATAAACTTAGAGCACTTCTCATCATTTTTCTCTTTTGAGAAAATAGTATGCGTGCAATGGGAAAACCCATTGACCAAATAATTGAATGTGACATCAGTTGGATAGCACTTGTGCATGAGCATTTGTTCAAAAATAGAAGCGGCTTTTGCAAGTTTTCCCACTTTACAAAAGCTACCAACTAATATACTATAAGTTATCACATTAGGCATCATACCAATCGATTGCATTCCGTTGAACAACTTTTCAGCTCTCATTAGATCTCCATTCTGACAAAATCCATAAATTAGAGAGCTGTATGTTACCACATTTGGCATACAGTTGCGCTTTACCATGTGAGGGAGTATCATTAATGCTCGGCGCAAATCATTTTGCTTTACATACCCATCAATTACTGTTGAATAAGTAAAGGCATCTGGAGATATTTTTGACTTTTTCATTCTACTGATGCAAGCAACTGCATCTTTCATCAATCCAAACTTACAGTATCCTTTGATCATGGCATTGTACCCCACAAGCCCAGGATCCATACCCATCTCAATTGTCTGCTCAAATAGCTTCTTTGCTTCCTGAAATTCCCCATTTCTTACACATCCATCAACTAAAGTGGCATAAACATATACATCAGGCAATATACCACCGCCAAGCATCTCATCAAGGAGCTGCCTGGCGGCGGGAAGCTTCAATTTTTTGCAGAGCCCACTCATCAGAACATTATAAATTCCAGCATCAGGTGATACTCCCCTTTCAATCATCTTGTCTCGAATGACTAATGCAACATCAACTTCACCAGAGACCACCAATCCATGGACAAGAGCTCCATAAGTTGACACATCGGGCTTTTCACCATACTCTGTCATCTCAGCAAGCAAACTTAACGCCCTTTCAAAATCACCAAATTTGCAGTAGGCATGTACCAAAGGAGTATAAGTAAACTTGGTAGGCACCAGCCGCATATTCTTAACCTGATCTAGAAACTTTTCAGCTTCCTGAATTTTCTCATCCTTGCATGAATAAGAGATCAATATGTTATATGTCACGATATCTGGCTTACTGCCAGCTTCAACCATTTTCCTTACAGTGTCTATTGCTTCCACAGTAAAACCATGCCTACACCTAGCATCAATGATGGTATTATACACTCGGGCATTGACAATCACACCTCTCTCAACCATCTCCTGCACAAGCATATCAACTCTCTCAAAATGCCCATCTTTACAAAACCCATTTATCAGTGCCCCATAAGTCTCCACTGTGGGTAAAAAGCTCTTCAATTTCAACTCATTGAAAAGCCCGTATGCTCTTCTGATGTCACCCTTCTTGCAGTAGCCATCAATCAATGTATTGTAAAAAACAACATTTGGTACACAACCTTTACCCCACCTATCCTCAATCAATTTCCTGCCTTCTTCCACATTCCCTTCTTTACTCAACCCTGTAACAATAATACAAGTGCTAAAATTATCCAAAAATTTATCCTCAACACCGCCACTTCTCTCAACGAGCTCATCGTAGAGTCTTCTAGCAGTTTTAATCTTACCATGTTTTACAAGACCATGAAGTAAAGAATTCACAGTAACTACATGTGGAACCAAATTATAAGTCCTCAGTACAAAATAATACAATTCAACAGCTTTATCAACCAAATTAGAATCAGAATAAGCTTTAATTACAGCATCCAATGCTTCAAGAGTAGGAAACTTATCCTCACAAGTAGTCAAGCTGGACAACAAACTATCAATTTCAGGAAAAACTCTAAACTTAGCCAAGAGTTTCAAAAGAGAAGAACAAGCAAAACGATCAAGGGGACAACCATCGGGTCTTTGAGATACCCAATCAAAGAACTTGAGACCCACATGAGCATCCTTAAGTTTGTCAAACACAAGGTGTGCAATGTCAGGAGGGACAATTTCTTCCTGTGAAAGACGGATTTCGACAGCGTCTTCCCATTGTTGTTGGGTATGGAGGATTTGACAGACCTCGTTAACAACTTCTTTGATGCGGCGTGTTAACGGGAAGTTGGAAGAAGAAGAAGGGGGTTTTGGTTTTGGGTTATGGAGGGGTTTAATGCGGGAGAGAAGGGTTTTAGACATATGAATTAGAAAATGGTTAACTTGGTGTCATCTCCTGGATGAAAGCTCAGTCCAGGAGAAACAGATGAAACAAGATTGATTCATTGCAAGATTGATTCATTGCGGCTTTCGGAAACTTCACTGTCTCTCAAAACCTGAGTGTCACAAAACCCCAGAGAGCTTCAACAGAGTCTCAAACCTCAAAGACTATTTTTTTTCTTACACTTGGGCGGGCCCGTGTGTATCTTTACGGGTATCAATTGAACCGGCAGAAAGGATTAAATTTCAACGGGTAAATACTTCGGTTTTTTAATTCAAACTCATCATTCGTTCACTTTTTCTATTTAAAATATTAAGTTGTTATCTATTAGTATATGATAATAAAATCAATATAAATTTTACACATCTAATAGTTTAGATATAAAAAAAAACTAATAGTTTAGATATAAAATTAGAAAATTAAGATATTTTATGTGTGTATTTGATATAAATAAAAAGGTCAATAAAGTAGGCCAAATTCACCATATATGTTTGGTCTAATTATGCACTTTTGATTTATTTTACTAAGTTAAAAATAGTTTTATTTCACTCAAATTTAGTTGAGAATATATTTAGTCCAATCTAATTCATAGCTACAATAATATAACAACTTGATTGAACATTTTTGATAAACCGCTTTTGTATATTAGCCTAGTAATTGATTTGTAGTACTTGACAATGGATACAATTACTTTCATTATTGTCATTTCATTAGTATAGAATTGTTTGGTTGAATTTCTCAAAAGAGTACTTCTTTGCCCCAAAGCATTATGTTAGAAAAGTATTTTAAAATTAATATTATTTAGAAATAGTATTTTTTTTTAAAAATAGAATGAAAATACTTTCTCCGTTTTAAAAAGATTGGCATAGTTTGATTTGAAATAGAGTTTAAGAAAAGAAAGAAGACTTTTTAATCTTGTGGTTCTAAATTAAAGTTATGTCAAATGTATCACAATGCCCTTTAATCTTGTAGTCTTAAACATGTCACGTTGGAAAGTTAAAGTTAAAGTATTTCCAAAAAAGTAAATGTTATATCAAATATATCAAAATGCTCTTTAATGTTGTGCTCTTAAACATATCACGTGAAAAGTTAAAGTTAAAGTATTTTAAAAAAGAATGAAAACGATTATTCTTTTTAAATAGATTAAAAAAGAAATAGAAATATTCTGAGTATTGATTTAGAGGTATTGGTAATTCCACGTGGCCATAATATGAACATTTTCTCAGGGACTGCTAATTGCAGAAGCAAAGGGCTAATCGTTTAATTTTTAACCACCACTTTTATCAACAAAAGTACAACTGATTTTTGAAGTTGGTTCCAATGAACATGGCGATCACTTCATCCGCTAGCTATGCGGGATTGACTGTAACGCCTCCGTTTCATGCTAGGTTTCGCCGGCAATTCACTCCGTTGGCAACTCTATCAACGCCACCAAACACCAGCAGTAGCAGCCGTCAAGTGGCAGTGGATTGGGTGGAGGAAACTGCTAGTTTCTTTGAGCTTGATAATCGCCCTATAATGTTATTTGACGGTATAACCTTGATTCCTTGCGTCATTTTTCTTTTTAATTTAATTTAATTGGATTGTGTTATACGTTTTTAGAAATTATTGAAAAAATGAAGGATTTTTGAATGCCGTCTATCCTTTAAATCAACTAAATTTATTGAAAATTAAGAAGAAATTAAATATAGATATTTTTGGTTGCTCGTTATTGCAACACATGAATTTCTTAAAGTTCAGCCTTTTTTCCCAGTTGTAGCAAAAAGAGAATTAGGCGTTTCTCAAGCATAACTTTGTCATCATTTTTGTGTGGTCTGTTGAAATAAATTTTCTAGTTTTTGACCAGAACCCTCCCTAGTGGATAACTTTCTTTGTATGAAGTGCAAGTTTAGAACTTAAATAAATTGATCTGAATAAGCTAGCTAGCATACTGTTTTAGTGGTTTCGGATAACATTATGCGTGAAACTGAGAAATGTTTTGCATTTTTTCTAGGTGTGTGCAACCTGTGTAATGGAGGTGTGAAGTTTGTCCGTGATAATGATAATAAAAGGTTGGTGTTTTCCTTCTTCTTTTGTTTTTGGCTGAAAGGATTTAGATTCAAACTTCTTTGCATATGTAAAAGGTTACAAAGTTGTTAAGTACCTTTTATAGGAGATCAGAGTCTGATAATTCTTGATCTGATCTCCTACCTGGTTCACCAAGTTATAAGTTGTGACTGGAGTTATGTACTAGGTCTGCTTTCAGAGACTGACCTTATGTCTCACTCTTTAACATTTGTTCTATTATACTCTGTTGTCTTTGCAAATGCTTGAGAGTTCTGTAGAGCTTGTATGCTGCAGCCTGCAGTCATTCTCACTAATTATATTTGGTTACTACTATGTCAGAGATATTGTATAAATGCAAATTTGATATTTTAAGCCCAGATGTCACATAGTTTTCGTATAAATTTGATGCAAAGAGAGTCTCACATAGTTTTCTTTCAGAAGATAAGTCTGCTAACAGAAATCGTCTGAGCTCATTTAATCAAGGAAATGTTATTAGCAGTCAGACTTCTTACTGTTGTCATCGTCATTATCTGTTCAGTGGTTTTTTGGTTTTCTTCAAGACTATTTTTTCTTTAATTCCTCATTCTGTTGACATCCAGGAGAATTAGGTATGAAGCTTTACAAAGTGAAGCAGGGAAGAACCTGTTGAGGAGATCTGGCAGAGCTCCTGATGATATTTCAAGTGTTGTGCTTGTTGAAAAAGATAGGTATGCTGTATGTTCCACGGAAAAAAAAGGGGGTGGGGGTTGGGGGTGGAAGGAAGGAAGTAAGGGGCCTGACTTTTTACATATTGGAGTACCTTTTTTCCAACTCCGACTTCAATTTTTTTTTTTCAACTTCAATTCAAATGTTGACCAGACAATACTAATGTTGTATCAACTAGCAATCATAGCAGGAGTAACAAGTGATCACTGTTTTCATTTCAGGTCTTATGTGAAATCCGAAGCTGTTCTGAAGATTATGGAGTACATTAACTTGCCTTTCCCTCAGCTAGCATTCTTCTTACAGTTTGTGCCTCTGTAAGTTTCACTGTTATAATCCCAATCATGGTGAATGTAGGAACTTGCTTTACTTCTGTGCTTAGTTTTCCCCTCATTTTAGCAGATTCATTCGAGACTTTGCATATGATAATGTTGCCAATAATCGTTATGCACTCTTTGGCCGCTCCGAATCATGTGAGATATAAATGGAGACTCTAAGCACCGTTTGGCTGCTCTAGTTCATGTGATTATACACTATACAGAAACTGGTACTTCTTCTCTCGTGCAAGTAAAATACTCTTGTGTATAGAACATATTGTGACTTGCTGTTGTCTGCATATTTAGAATCTAAACTTGATTATTATTGTTGTATGGTTCTGGTGTTATGACTGGTTACAGAATAGAGAAAGAAAAAACGAACAATCTTTTTAATTGTTTCTATACTGAAGTTCATACTTTTTATCTAATGTCTTATTCTGTCAATTAGTTATATCTGTTATACTAGAAACTTGTGGTTTATACATAACTAAGTTCCAATTCCAATGAAATGCTCTACGATTTCCTTTTTCCCTCTAATTTGAAATGAATGTTCTGTGTACAGAGATATTCCAGCTATCAAAAAGGACATGTGGCTCTGATTAGTTATTCATCAAAGAATATGTATCCATAAGCCTTGAATCTGATAACTCCCTAAAATAACGACATAGATGTAAGATTATAACAGTTGAATAATTCCCTAAAATAACAACATAGATGTAAGATTATAACAGTTGAACAATTCCCTAAAATAACGACATAGATGTAAGATTATAACAGTTGAATAATTCCCTAAAATAACGACATAGATGTAAGATTATAACAGTTGAATAGAATGTTTTGCACATAAAAATATTGTGGCTAATGAACAAATCAAATAAAGAGAGTTACCGGTTTTAAGAAGAAGAAAAGATATATCAAGAAAAGAAAAACACAATAGTGGGTTTTGACTTCTGAGTGGTTATTCATTACAGAAACTGTATTCCATAAGACTTGAATGTAACAACTTCTTAAATAACGAAATAGCTATAATAAGTCTATAATAGTTGAGAAGAATGGTACGTGTCTCTCCTTCTCCCAATCTACTCCTTTAATAGTCTTTGTTGAACAATAAGGCATCGAGACATTAAAACTATGGCGGCAGCAGACATTTCACAGCAGGGCTAGTATGAGTGTATCTTCCATGAGCATTGATGCACTTGGCATGAACAGGGTTACCATTAACAGATGATATATATACTCGATCAACAAGTATGTTTTTGCAGCCAACAGTCTCGCTGCAGCTCAGATTTATCACCTCGTCCATCAGGGAAGTCCCTAGTATTCCTCTGAATGTTATGTCACTCAATGCTACTGCAGCTGTCTGCATTAAATTAGTCAAAACAACAAATTAGTAATGAAATTCAACAATCAGTCCCTAGTTTCCAGTCTATATATCTTTTCTTTGTTTTCTCACATCTTTTTTGCAATTGACTCGACTGGGACAGTAAAACTGGTCTATGATGATGGGATTGTTGACTGCAACAAATACAATTCCTTCAAAAGCAATCCTCCTTGCATACCCTTCGCCTCCCTGTTCCATCAAAATATGTTAGCTAGTTATAGTTGTAACAATTACTGCAGTATTTGTCAAGTGTAAATGACGAAAATTATCTGAGCATTTCCAAGCTGATCAAAAACTAAGTGCACATTACCTGCCAGGTCTTAATCCTTACTCCTGCTAAGGTGTCTTTCATCGTGCAATTTCGTACGTTCACATCTTCCACGACTTCAAATCCTCCTTCTCCCAAGGATCCAATACTACAGCCATTAATCTTTTTTCAAAGTTTTATTTAGAAGTTACAACATTCTAGTGAACTAGAATTTGAAAATTCAACAATTACCTAATACCATGGCCAGGTCCGCATGTTATGCCGCTAATACTTATGTTGGACGATCCTCCTCCTATTGCAATACAGTCGTCACCTATCATTGCCCAAAACATGTGGAGTAAACCCGTTATAATAAAAATCAATCAAGTCAGATTTTGCACTCCTGAAGAAGTGAAAGTTCATGGATAAATCAAAATGGAGATATAGTTAGAGGTTGAGCCAAGATTTAAAATTTATGAGTTTGGGATCCTAGTTCTGTTCTATCGGACCCGTGAGCTGAACTCTAACTCTGCCCTTGGTAATAAGTAAGGATTTAACTTATATACCCTGATAGTGTAAAAACTTTTATGAAGGGAAGTCTTGGGACAGCAATGAAAAAATTGTCTCTATATAACCTAGAGCTTACTGGTTTGAATTGTGGAATCAACCATTGGTACTTGCATTAGGGTAGGTTGTCTATGCCATATCTTTTTAGGGTGCAGTTGATCTTTTCCAAATCCTGCATGAAAGTGGGATATTCGTGCACCGGACTGACTCTTTTTAGTTGTAAAAGCTTTTGTTAATTCAAAGTTTTACATCCTAGTCACTTGCTTTATTTTTCAGGTTGATAGTTTAACTTATCATTACTGTGCGATTTTAAGTCGGTGAAATTTATCAGTGTTTATAAGTTAAATTCATCGATAGTGAAAATGTACCTGTTGCGATGAGAGAGTTTTGTATTTGTACGTTCGTGCTACCGGAAACGCCAATCCCATCGGTGTTGAGACTATCACCAGGGGACATAATACGAATATTAGCAATGCTAACTTCATTGCAAGCAGTCAATATGATATGACTTCTAGGACTTCTAATCATCGTTACTCCCCTAACTCGAAGCTGATCACATCTTCTGAAAATCAATGCCTATATATATTGGATAATCATCACATTACTTTAGTACATATACGTTATACACAGGAAATTTGAAAACCATTGTGTGTACTTACAGTGGGTCCTTTGCATTGTGTTTCCTGGTCAAAAAAATAATAATTCCATATGTAAGAAATAAGTTAGCGCTTCTAGAGGATTTTCTTCATGAAAAACTTTGAAAATACTAAAGATTTTAAGCTTACTGGGGATGTGTTATCATTGGTGCAAGCATTTGACCACCATATATGGCCTAGGCCATCAAAAACTCCATTGCCATTTACAGTAAGATGGTCAATATTCGCAAAAGTGAGCCATGCATTGGTTGCAGCTCCATCCCATGCTGATTTTGAGTTAGGTGCAATTATATTTCCAGATACCTGAAATAAGTTAACAAAATTATTTGTCAAATCTACCCATTTTGACATTATAACTTAAAAACGATCACTTTTCTGACGAGTAATTGTAGGTGAAGGGCATCATAACCTGAATATGTATACTGGAGGGCTTGCAAGGACCATCAAATTCTGAAGGCTTAAGTAAGAATTTCTTTCTTTTTGGTATAACAAGAATTACACGACTGGATTCCGATTGACATACAGCTTCCCATGCCTTGAGGAAAGCCTGCATATATATATATATATATATATATATATATATATAC